TAGTTACTTTCGAACTTTGTGCTGAGGAGTTGGAGTGGATAATATGTGATAAGTGAGTACGCTGGTACGAAGACAACAATATAATAACATCGATTGACTCTAGCATGACAAACTTTCATTCAAGTTGCTAAAGTCTGAGGCTAATGGTCATGCTGATTACGAAAGTAGCATTAGTCTGGAGAAATACCAACGCAGTTATCCAATTCGTCGACTTCTCAGTCTTTGAATTGGGGCTGCAGGGAGGTGGACAAAAGGATAGATGATGCTGATCAGAAACAGTGGCTCGGCAAATTTCAGTCTAGTAATTCTCGCTACTTGGGGCTGTACAATGTGCTGATCCCGAAAATCCACGTTAGAAAGCTTGAGAACGGCAAAAACGATCATTTTCCATTAGTCTTCGCTTTGAAATGGACGAGTAAAGCAAGGCTGACGCTGAATTGCTGCGGGACCGATTATAGCACTGCGGCGGGTAGTCTTCAACGATGAGAGGGGAATTACCAAATCACCCGAGCTCGTGTTAGATTGGCTTGCGCGTGTAAGTCTGAGAGCAATTTTCTCGGCATGCCGGTCGACCGGGATTGCTGTGTTTCCAAACTGGGGCGATATGCAACCTACTGCATTAATATCTCGAACTGTTGAATTTTGCCGATCCACTGCCTTCAATGGCCATGCATCAACATCCCCGCTGGGAAGGGGATCGCAGCTTAAAAGAAAGCTACATATCCTGAAGCTCTAGATATCTGAATTGCATGCTGTCTACCTACACGTAAGGTATTCCCACCATTCTTCACTGAACATACTAAACAGGAGCAAGACACCGCATTTTAAAGCTTTCTGCATGATCCCCTGATGATCCCCAGCAGCCCCCATCTTTTCTTCAAATCATTTTTCTTTTTGGAAGTCAATAAAAACATTTCAAAGTTGTGCTGTTTATTGCTTTCTTTTGAGATGCGATCCCCTCTCCAGTGGAAATGTTAGTGCATTCGACCCTAATTTTAAGAAAACATAAG